ACAGTGCGAGTCAACTATCAAGTTAATACCCGACTCGGTACAATCGTGAGGCTAGGTTCGGCGTTAAGGTAGCCGAGTCGGTCTGATTACATTTCTATCCAGACTTTCTTTAAACTTACGGGAAAATAGAATCCGTAATGATTGAGTGGCAGTTATCAACTTTGGATGACAAATCCGCCGATCTATCTCCACGAGTACGGTCACCGAAAGTGGCTTCTAGGAGCACGCAGTTCCGGTTACCTTCCTCACAGCTTCTGGCGCGATCGATGCAATAGGCCGGTCTGTATGTACATACCATGTAATACAGTGGAGTCCGAAATCGCTCTTTGTGTACTGTAATCGGAGGGATACTTTCTAGTCTATATATTAAATTAAACTATACGAGGGGCAGATTCAATTGTTAAGGTAAATTGAAGGTGAAACAGTAGAGTGACAGTGAATAAGGGCTTAAGAATGAAATACTATTTACCCAGGCTGTCGTTATAGCCCTAAATTCAACTTCCATTGCGTCCTCCGTTGACAGTTAGCAATCAGATTGAAGACGGTTACCCTCCTAGATTTAGCAAGTAAAAATTTACTTATGTCTTACTCTTCTTTCACGTCTATAAAACAATGATTACATTCAGGTGATATGCAGATTACTTGAGAATAAGCAGTTGTGACTCGTGAGACATAAGATTACCAGCCAGCTGATAGCTCGCGCGGGGTCAGTAACATCCAGCAGTTACTTTGGATAATGGAACGAGTGGTACTCAGTGGATCTGAATTTTCCAGTAGACTTAGCCCAGTCCATCTTCGGATAATTCCAGGGATTCTGATCTGATATTTTGGCGGTAATACAAAGTTACAGACATGCTCTACAGGTACGGTGGTTGTAGTTACTACTATAGGTAGTGCAATACCTAAGGGGCTGGGGGCTACCTAGTTCAGCTGTCACGTATGAAAATGGACACTATGATATAAGACGGAGGAGTGAGAGGCCGATGGGACCTGAGGATTAGCTAGGAAATTCATTACAAGATGATAAGCCAGCAAGAACATTATCTTCTAGAAAGTCTAGAAGCCTATTAAATTTATAATACAGGATTTGAATTTAAGAAAAAATCTTATGTATGTAGAGAATGATACAAAGGGGCAGGATAACAAAGAAATAAAATAAAATAGAAATAAAAAAGGTTTTTATCTAAAAAAAAAAGAAAAAAGAAAAAAGGAGAAAGATCATGATAATAGAATTAAATAATAATACCATAATACCAGAGGTAATACATGAAAGAGTGAGAGCCCCGCGGCAAATTATATGGACGGAGGTGGAAAAGAAGGCCTCGTGCCCCACCATCGTAATGCTGCTGCAGCTCTAAGCAGAGCCCTCTCACGGCGTTAAAAAAGTACACTGCTCCGCCGGAACTGTTGGGGATTTTTCCAACAAACCTCTCCTCCATTTCTGACTCCCCTTTAATTTTTCCCTCTCCTCTCGAGTTTAGACCTCTTTCTCCTTTCCTACATTCCTTCCACCCCATTGCGACCCGATCTCCTGTCATAACATCATGGCCAGCACAATAGCACGTTCTGAGGAGCGCCAGAACGCTGGGTGAGTGTTGACCACATCCTGTCTCCCTCTGACATCACACCCCTCCCTCTCAACTGTTCCGCCCACTTCGTCCACCCGCCATGACAAACGCGCGCTCGAAGCATTTCAACCTGGAATTGATCCCCATCAAGTATATACATTATTTAGAATTCGATCTCTAGACTGCTTTTTTTTTGGGGGGGGGGGGGGGGGGGGCTCTGTTTTATTTTCCCTTAAATGTTCCTTCTATCACATACAGACCCCCATTGATCGACATACATCATTACCATCCCTGTTCTGCAAGTGCCTCTAATTCGCTGCTAACATGGATATTTCGCTTAGCACCATCGAGCTTAAAGATGACACTGCCATTGTAGTGCTTGGTGCCTCGGGAGATCTCGCGAAGAAGAAGACGGTGGGTGATCCTGCGGAGCTTGGTGCAAGAAATCGATCGGAAGCTAATGTCCCTCATAGTTCCCGGCACTTTTCGGCCTTGTATGTACCTGCGGACTAGACCTCCAATGAGGGGCTAAGTAGTCTGTTTTCCCTAACTGACCTTGCATCTAGTACCGTAACAAGTTCCTCCCCAAGGGAATTAAGATTGTCGGCTATGCCCGCACAAACATGGATCATGAAGAATACCTGAGACGTGTACGGTCGTATATTAAGACCCCTACTAAGGAGATCGAAGAGCAGCTGGACAGCTTCTGCCAACTATGCTCCTACGTCTCGGGTCAATACGACAAGGATGAGTCTTTCCAGAACCTCACTAGGCACCTCGAGGAAGTCGAGAAGGGTCAGAAGGAGCAGAACCGTGTCTTCTACATGGCTCTTCCCCCCAGCGTCTTTACCACCGTGTCAGATCAATTAAAGAGAAACTGCTACCCCAAGAACGGTATCGCTCGTATTATCGTGAGTCGCTCCTTATACCGTCGTCTTCAGCAAAAACGGTTGCTCATGTGTGCTTCATTTTTTATAGGTTGAGAAGCCTTTCGGCAAGGACCTTCAGAGCTCCCGTGATCTCCAGAAGGCGCTCGACCCCAACTGGAAGGAAGAGGAGATCTTCCGTATTGACCACTACCTGGGCAAGGAGATGGTCAAGAACATCCTTATTATGCGCTTCGGCAACGAATTCTTCAACGCCACCTGGAACCGTCATCACATCGATAATGTGCAGGTATGAATCGGATGATTGCTCTGCTTGGCCTGGTCATTTACTAAATGACTTGCTCCAGATCACATTTAAGGAGCCCTTCGGCACTGAGGGTCGTGGAGGCTACTTCGACGAGTTCGGTATCATTCGTGACGTTATGCAGAACCGTACGTAACACGTTGTTTGTTCCCACATGCTGGCAAAACGCTGACCTCTTTGCTGCAGACTTGTTGCAGGTGTTGACTTTGCTCGCTATGGAGCGCCCCATCTCATTTTCCGCCGAGGATATTCGTGACGAGAAGGTAACGGTTTCTTTCAACCCAGCCATCCTCCGCTCTGATATTGATGCATTAGTAGGTGCGTGTCCTGCGCGCAATGGACGCCATTGAGCCCAAGAACGTCATCATTGGTCAATACGGAAAGTCTTTGGACGGAAGCAAGCCCGCATACAAGGAGGACGAGACTGTCCCTCAGGATTCTCGCTGCCCCACTTTCTGCGCATTGGTCGCATACATCAAGAACGAGCGGTGGGACGGTGTTCCTTTCATCATGAAGGCCGGCAAAGGTACATTCTATCCCCTACACTCCCTGCGTTGCTCGCATGCTTACAGTCCCTAGCACTCAACGAGCAGAAGACCGAGATCCGTATTCAGTTCCGCGACGTGACTTCGGGCATCTTCAAGGACATTCCTCGCAACGAGCTCGTCATCCGTGTTCAGCCCAACGAGTCTGTGTATATCAAGATGAACTCAAAGCTTCCTGGCCTGTCTATGCAGACTGTTGTGACCGAGCTTGACCTCACCTACCGCCGTCGCTTCTCCGACCTTAAGATCCCCGAAGCTTATGAGTCTTTGATCCTGGACGCCCTAAAGGGTGATCACTCGAACTTCGTCCGTGATGACGAACTTGACGCCAGCTGGAGAATCTTTACACCGCTCCTCCACTACCTTGATGATAACAAGGAGATTATCCCTATGGAATACCCCTATGGTATGTTATGAATCCGTGTTGCATATAGTATGCGAGTTTTGGTGACTAATGGTGAACTAGGCTCTCGTGGGCCTGCTGTTCTCGACGACTTCACTGCCTCGTTCGGCTACAAGTTCAGCGATGCTGCTGGCTACCAGTGGCCCTTGACTTCCACCCCCAACCGTCTGTAGACGGGGAAGGCTTATGAGGCTAACGAGAATGTAAAAAGGACAAAAAGGGGCAAAGATACTAATGCAGCATGACCGAGTTTGTTTTTATTGTTATGGTATGTTTGGGAATTTCGGTTTGAGTAGGCGGCTTTTTTAAACAATCGGTGGGCCGGCAATGACGGAGTAAATCCATTTTTACCACCCAACTCTAGAAACGAATCAAGTGAATATTACGAATATCACGAAAGATGCGCAGATCTCGCGCTGTTGTTCTCCAGGAAAAGAGGCCAAGCTGATTCTAGGACTTGGCGGAGACAACAAGGCTATTTTTTTTATTTAAAAAAAAGAAGAAAAAAAAACCACACCCCTTGGATCCCTGTAGATATAAATAAGATTAGCTTAGCATTACGTACGAGTCAGTCGCCTGTTAAAATGTCGATGTTCATTAGAGAGTTCGTGATCAGCTATTTATAAACCACCCTTTCAGGTCCCTTGTGGGTCTGGTAAGATTAAATTTCATAGAATGCTGCCGATAAGATTGATTGAATTCTGCCCTGACGTTCCCGGGGGCCCGCATGCGTCTGTTGTCTGGGTCCCGCCCGTGACTTTCCTTTTCTTTCTTTCCTTTCTTCCTTTGGTGCCTCAATTTTCTCCAGGCGTTCTTTGCTTTTATATGCGATTGACTCTCCCATCGGATTACTTTCCGGTATAGAACACCGCTTACCCGCTTCCACCCATCAGTCTTCGAGGTTTCCACGACATTGTTCCCGCCATTGGATCTGCGTTGTATCATCCCATGCTATTTTTATCACAGACAGACACTGCGACGAGCGCGATCCTCCTCCCACCTCTACCACCGGCTGTCGATTACTCGTCGAGTTCAGGCTCATAGGAGCCCTTGCACCTTGCAATTACCACCCAGACTCTTATATCCCCCGATAGAACCGAGAACTTGTCGACTGCTATAGAACGTGCGGTTGCCTGATCGCAGGTACGAGACCAGGTGGACCTAGTCCTATTCATGGAAAATTGAGAAGTCCAGAGAGAGTCAATTGCATGCAAGCACCCAGCGATATAATTAAGGATGCCGCAAGCTGCAAGATGGGTGGGTTCGCCCTCCATCAAGGGGCGAACAGAGGCAATGCGAATGGCACTCTTGACGTTTAGTCTGTTAGGGTTACAGTACGTTGACCACCGTTGTCGGTATCTACACTGCTTGTGATGAACATAATCAGCTAAGATACTATGGTACAGGTTTACTTGGGGCATTGAAATGACCTGTAAGACCTTTTCCTCCCTGCCGCCCAACCGCCCTCTAATCAGACCTACTCGACATAGACTGCACTCCGTATCTTCTCCAGCTCGGTCTCACTAAATCCCGAACATCGCTCGTCTGGATCGCTGGTCCTTTGTCCGGGTTGATTATCCAGCCTCTCATTGGTGTCATCGCTGATCGGTCACGATCGAAATGGGGAAGACGAAGGCCATTCATGATTGTAGGCTCAGTGATCGTCGCGATGTGTTTGTTAGTGCTGGGATGGACCACTGAAATTGTCAACCTTTTTGTCAAGGATGCAGAAAAGGTAGACTGAGAAGCACGCCGAGTTTTAAGCAAGAGCTCACATGTGGATCATTTACTAGGCCAACCGAGTTATCATTGCGCTAGCGGTCCTTAGCATTTATGCCGTGGACTTTGCCATCAATATCGGTGGGTGTGGGGTACCAAGGAAATCTCAAGTTCTATCTAACAGCGTCTAGTCCAAGCGTGCTGTCGGAGCTTGATAGTTGATACATTGCCTATTCCATCACAGCAGGCTGGGTCAGCATGGGGTACGTTTTTTGCCCATTGCCGAAATGCGAATGACTGATCTGATATCCCAAAGCCACTAGAATGTCAGCCATTGGCCAGCTCATTAGTTATATCATCGGATCAATCGATACAGTTAGCATTTTTGGCACCACAATTGGCGATACTCAATTTAAGCAGATGACAGTTATCGCTGCGCTTTCCTTACTCATCGCTGTTCTGGTCACTTGTTATGCGGTGAAGGAGAGAATATTGATTACTGCTAGGTGAGTAGATGACCGAGGATATGCCCTAGATGCGGTTCGTTGACTTGTGGGACAGAGACTCCGAAGGGAAGGCCGGGGCTTTCCAGGTTATGTCTCAACTATTCAAAACTACAATGGACTTGCCTCCCCGCATCCAAGCCATCTGCTGGGCTCAATTTTGGGCGTGGATTGGTATAGACTTCCTTGTGAAAACTTTGATACAACCCTCGCTAATCTATACTAGGTTGGTTTCCATTCCTTTTCTACAGTACCACCTGGGTTGGTGAGACATATTTCCGGTATGAGGTTCCAAAGGATGCGACGCATCCGACGGACATGCTTGGTGAGGTTGGTCGAGTTGGCAGTTTGTCACTGGTTGTCTTCTCATCCATCACATTCTTCAGCTCTGTTCTGTTGCCATTCTGCGTACAACCCCCGGATAACAGGAGGCCTAGATTTACACCACGGCCTCCTCCAGGGATTGCTGCCTTGCTTAAGAAGATCACTTTGATACGCCCGGACTTGCAGACGACCTGGTTGATCTCCCATGTGATGTTTGCAGCCACTATGATCTTCGCACCTTTGGCCCGATCCCGGGCCTTTGCGACCTTTTTAGTAGCCTTGTGTGGAATTCCGTGGGCTGTTAGCAGCTGGGCCCCTTTCGCCTTCATGGGTGTGGAGATAAACAAGCTAGCCTTAGGCCCAACTCAAGCATCGCGTCTGTCCGGTGTCACTATGATCACATCTTCCAGTATCCGTTCTGGGGCTTACAGTGATAGCAATGGAGATACGGAGATGGACGTCCTGCGACTCAACCACAACGACACAGACAGCGATAGTGACACAGAGGGTGGCGCCTCCGATCTACCATCAACAGGTGAATTGGCTGGCATTTACCTAGGCGTGCTGAATGTGTATACGACACTGCCACAATTCGTCGGCACATTCATCAGCTGGATAGTGTTCAGTGTTATCGAGCCAGGTAGCACAAAGCGAGACGCTTCGGAGACGCAATGGATGAACCTCGATAAGGGTTCGCCCAATGCCATCTCGATCTGTCTGTTTATTGGCGCGCTAAGTACGCTTGTGGCTATTGAAGCGACTCGACGCTTACGTCACATTCGATAATGATCGTGACTTTCTTTTTTCTACGGCATATCTTTTCTATCACGATGAAAAGGGAGTCTACTTTAGACTCTCTGATATTATACTATCTGATACCCAGATTCATTCAGCGATGTATTATTTGTGAGTATATGGGACATGTCTGAAGTGGCATCTTTCGAGCACAGGCTGACCGAGCCTGCGCTGATGTTTGATTGGCCTTGACATTTTTGGGGGATTTGTTCGCCACATACATATTGGCATATGATGGTATATATTATTGAAATAATGATAATTATAATGTACTATACGATAATTTTTGCCCAGTGCTAATATACTTCTGAATATAATGATAATTCAAAGTGTGAAAGTAGAGTGAAAAAAGTAAATAAATAAACAAAAGACAATCAATAAACAGGAAGGGGAATAAAACGATAAGCTCAAAACAATTGAAAAGAATCGCCACTGCATGATTATCCATCCGTCGATGAACTAATAAGCCAGGGATGATATTACAACAGAGTCGTCCGTTCATGGCGCGCATCCGTCATTCTTCGCTATCAGAGCCTGTGCTTTTTGTCATGTGAATAGGAATTTTATGGAGGCCAGGCTTAAACGTGGGCAATCAAAAGAAAACAGAGCCTGCAACAGATATCGGAAACTGTCGAGGCCGTATAGAGATTAAACAGGTGGTACAAGGTATATGAACAGATGATGTGCATCAAGAGACGAAAGAGAAAATGACTGGTACTCAAGGATGGATGAAAGATAAGAATCAAGTGTGAATTAAGCCATTTTGCCGGTCAGTTCGGCCACCCTGGCCTTGATTCGAGCCGCGCGAGCATCGAAGCCTTGATGATACAACGTTAGCATAATGGGCGACTGCTACTATGGAGGCCTGTGTTACTTACTTTCCTCTTCGCTCGTGTTGCCACCGTCCTCTTCGTTCATTCGTATATGCTCAAACTGGGCGGCTCTTTCAGCGGCGTTTTTGCGAATCTGTGCCCACCGGTCATGGGAAGGATTGGCCTGAGGCAGAGCACTAACTTCATCCTTGGCTTCAACCGGTGCGCTGTCGACAGGCTTCTTCTCTGAGAACGTATCGGACACAGGCGAATCCTCTGGAACAAACGCCGGCTGCTCCACCAAAGGTCCCTGATCAAACCTCGAGAACTCACTATCGGCTGCGGTGCGTTCGTTGGTATTCACGCGCGAAAGGGCATCGTATTCGACTTGCCGCTGGTTGCTATGGTAGTCGCTGTTTGATGCGGAGACATGGGGTTCTGGCTGCACTCTTGCCTCTGGTTGAACCCTGGCCTCCGGCTGTTCAGACTTCGGTGTTTCAGTAGCAGGCTTGGGGGTAACTGGAGCTTCGACGACAGGCTTGGGTGTTTCTGCAGCTGATGTCCCAGGCACAGGCTTCTTCTTCAGGGTGGATGGACGGGCAACCTGTTCCTGAGATGCTTTTGCCTTATCCTCTAGGGCAGCACGTGCAGCAGCAACAGCGGACCCACCGGCGCCCGTAGACTTCATTGGCGGTCTTGATTCGGGTTCAGGCTTCCTCTTCGTTGTCCCAAACATACTCTTGATTCCCGTAGTAGGAGGCTTCTTCTTTAATTTACCGGCTGTGTCCTCTGCTAAATCCGTGGACTTGCGAAGCGGCTCAGCGATCGACCGTTCCACAGGGGCAGTGGGGCTATCTTTTCGACCACTGGCGTCTCGGTCACTAGTAACGCTATCCTTCTGAGGTGTTGCGGGCGCTGGAGAGCTACGAACGTCATCCTTCGGCAGAGGCGGGGGAGCCTGTCGGGTACTGGTACTGAGGGCTGGAGACAAAGGTGGGCTGAGATTGTCCCTGGAGGTCTCCTTTACTTCATCCACTGGAGCACCAGTTCCCGCAAGGATATTCTCCATATAAGCAGCTTTGTAGGCATTCTTGCCCTTGTCGTAGTTACTGGCCCATTTCAAAGCATGCGATGCTTCGTTCACAATGGCCGGCTGGAGTGTCATAACAGAATTGGTCTTCGAGTAAGTGGTATCCCGAATATTCTTTCTAGATTCTCCGGACGCGGCTTGTTCTTGCTCCCGATGCTTTCTTTGAAGGGCAGCGGCAGCAGCCTGAATACGAGCATGCTGGTCAGGACCGATGCTGGTCTTACTTTGTGGTCCTTGGTTATCAGGCCGCTTGTAAGACTCCTCTACCGCGCTGACCTTTTTGGCCGTGGACTTGCGACGCCCGAGTCTCTTGCGCGTGGAAAACCCGAAGAAACCCTTCTTCTCGACGATATAAGCACCAGGCTCGGGCTCCGGTGCCGCGCCTTTAACCTGCTCCTCCAAGACAAGCCACTTCGTATTCTTGATGACAGTCTCGAGCAATGCACATCGCCCAAATACCGCCTTACGGGAAGCTGGTTCCTCCCCTGCCAAGCTGCTAATCCACACCCACCAAAATGAGTCATCCAGATCAAGAGTGGTGATACTAGCCAATTCACCAGGGCCCACGGACGGCTCAGCATTCAAAGTACGCTTATGGGACTGCGAGCTTTGGCCTCGAATAGTACTGATGGGGGGCAATACCTTATCGGGAGGGAGCAACACCGGCGCCACTGGACCTTTGAAGACGTTGTCATCACTGAAACCGGAAGACATAAAGTCCGCCCATGAGGGGGTTGTTGGGCGGCCGAGATCGCCTCCACCAGACTGAGGAACAGACCTCAGACCGCCACCGAACTCCTTTGACACCATGCTCGACGTTCTGTCGTCGTCAACATCAGCGTCCAGCGTGGCCCCGAAACCAAGATCTTCAAACCTGGACCACGATGCTTCTCTGGTCGCGGAAGTTGGGTCCGATTCAACGGATTGATTTGTAGACGATATGCATTTCAGTACACGGAGACATTCATCCGTCAGCGCTCGGAGGGGGTCCTCGAAACTAGCAAATTCCTGCAGGTGACTATCGCTGTCTCGATACTCGAAATTCTTTGCGCGGCGTAAAAGAGCAAAGGGGGTGGCAGACACAGTGTCGACAATCATGACAACTTTAGTGGTAGAGACTTGAAGAAGCGCTGGCGTCTCTGGCGGATATTCTGTGGCTTGAAGCAATGTTTGCAGGGCGATGGGTAAGGTAGAGATACTGCTCATCCCGCGCGGCGAGTCAGGGGACACCGAACGCAGGTACGCGAAGAACAAGTGGCTTGTCGCATCCGCGGCGCTACAAGGCGTTAACCAACCATTAATTATCGTTTGGCGTAAGTACTACATACCTTGCCCAGTCCTTGTAGGCCGCTTCAAATCCATTGCCAGTGTCAGTATGTTCAAATGCCCACCACCCGGCATACCGAGAGAGCTTTCGTCCTCCAAGGCCGTTAGACTTCCCATGCGCTGCAATCGCGGTTAAAAGATCGAAGAAGTCGAAAATGATCTTAGACCTGGCATCTGAGCTAACGCTAATGGGGATGAACGTTGAGAATGCATCGCGGGCAAGCTGAGAATCTGTGGTTTAATAAGCATACACCACCACTATGCGTCGGAGACAAACTCGATACGGACCTTGTTCACCAATTCTAAATAATTCGTAGGCCTCCCATGTGACAACTCCTCCAGGAAGTCTGCTCCAGCACCACTTTAGCACACTACAAAGGACCTGAGATACCTGTGTAAGCGGAGACAATAGATATAAAAGTAATTGAGTCCGTCGCATAAGGGGGTTCGAGGGTGGCTTACAATCGGCTCCGTCAGTCGTAGCTCCTGCGCCAAGGCATCTCCTTTAGGAGGCGAGCCTTTCGCCACGGCTTGATTGAAGTAGTTGCGGATAAACGTACGTGCAGCGCTGGCGTCGGAGGCTGGCCGGAAGGGTAATAGTAGGAAAGGTGTTTGGAGACCTGTTGAGGAGAAAGCGTGGTAATGATCAGCAACTTGAAGAATGCGCCTATCGCAAATTGTCGACGGAGGGGCATTGACGTCAGGGGCCCAAGGGGGGAAAAAAAGAAAAAAAAAAAAAGAGGAAACCTACCTCGGGCTTTCAACTCTTGCGTACAACCTCGCAGGAGGTCCTGGACTTCTTCCGGAGACACCTCAGTTCGCTGCCACGCGTCGGTCCATTTTGGCTTGGGAGGGCCATTGTCTTCTACCACAGGAGCTTTTGTCTTTTTGGGAGTATGGGAGTCCTTGATTCGAAAGACGCGGGCGAGGAACGGCATTTTCACCTTGCGCTTCTTGGACTCCTGAGGCGAAAGGTGCGACTAAGTATCAGTTGGGGAAGTCGACCTTTCAAGGCGCGGTCAAGAAGTGGCGTCTTAAGACGAGCCGATTAGCGAACCTAGAGAAGAAGACTTCACGATTTCACGCTCGACCGTGTGAGTAGGCAACCAGTTGTAGATTAATAGGAGAAAAGGAATATAAATAACAGGCCAAGGAAAATGAGGTGTAAAACCAAAAGGGAAAGACTTCTTCAGTTGATTCAATAGATTGGAGTCTAAGAAAGACAAAAAAAGAGAAAGAAAAAAAAAAGTAGACAAGAAGAGTAAAATAAAAATGAACTGAAATGAGATCAAAAAAATAAAAAAAAATAAAAGATCAATCGAATTAGTAGGAGGGCATTCAGGTGGCCAGAGAATCGCCTGCAGCCCAGACGGGGCAGCACGTCTAGCGTGCAGCGATACTGTACTAATGGCAATAAGGCCACAATCGACCTGCAGAGAATTTAGGAAATTGAATAGTAGTAACGAGTGCAATCTCCACGTTTTTTTAAGCTTGGAATGTGGAGCTGGTAAGACCGAGGAGCAGAATGAAACATGCGACCAAATGGAGTAAAACAAAATTGATAGCGGCGAAGAAAAAAGGGAGATATAATGGGAGGAAAAGAAGAAGAGGACAGGAGAGAAGAAAAAGGAAAAAGCGACGAGGTAGAAGAAGTTGATTGGAAGGACGATTGACGATGAGGATCTACTGTGTTGCTCGTTTCAGGGGTGAAATAATAATACACCCCCGAGCCCATTGCTCTATCCATGGTTCAGTCGCCCTCC